ATTCAGTGGCTGTACCATTCACCAGCTATGCTGACAACCTAAGTGCTATAAAAATGTTTTTTAGCTCCTTGTAGCAAGGTCCCCTCCAAACTACTATTTACAGTAGTTGTTAATTTATTTTTCTCAAGAGGCCAGGAAAGCACACAAATAAGTGTTTGAAGACGTATACACCAGGGAAACAGAGCAGAGAAAGGGCAAGAACAAAAAAAATCAGAGAGAACCAGACGCAGGATACGCTAATATATGACTGCAAAGCCCAGAATTCCCGAGGCGGACTCAATTTTCACAGCAAGCGCACGCTGCGACAAGTGTGAGAAGGCAGAGCCCAAAAAAAAAATATATCCCAAAGCCCAAAAATCGCATAAGCTCTGCCTGAGCTGCCCTTGCCAGAGACTTTTGGGGAGTGCATCAATACAAGTCCAAAGGCTTTTCAAGGCGAGTTAAACACGGCGCATGAAGACAACACAAAACCCCCCGGCTCGAGGGACCTTGTGACAGCACCCACGGTGAAACAGATGCTTGGCCTTCATCCCCTTCATCCCCCGGGGCCTGAAGCTTTGGAAAACACACATTTTGGGGCCACAGCTGCGGAAGGAGGATGCAGGTAGCGCCCTTACCTTGGGGAGCGCCCGTGCCGCAAGGCGCGCCCGGAGCAGCTCCCGGCCGGGCACCGGCGGCTCTCCGGGGCGCAGCACACCCCCTGTCGCTGTCGAGGCAGGACGGGAATGAAGAGGCTCTGACTCAGAAGGATGTTGAGAGTAAAATCCCCATTTATTCAAAATACCCCGCTCTTTTATACAGAGCTTCGTAAGGATCAAATCCATTGGTTCTGAAGTGAAAACAACCCATAGCATTGGTGCAGAGTGCTTGACGCACAGTGATAGACCTTAGCTATAAACAATGTGAATAACAAGAGAGATAGAGAATTATTTACATTCTTTCCCAGCTCTTTCCCAGGCTTCTGCCTGGATAGAAACTCTCAGTTTCTTCTTTTGACTGAATCTGAGACTCACACCCACAAGCGAGCGGCCCTGCCCCTGGGTGTGGCACAGAACATCCCCCCTAGAGTTTGCACTGGCACTTCGGAGATGCGCGTTCCAGCGTTTGAGACGCTTCGACTGTCGCTGTGATGCAGCTTGTTCGAGCAGGTGGGAACAATTCAGCACCCAAATCGTACTCCATAAGAGCTGCACAGGATCACCTTCGCATTTCTGGGCCGGGAGCAGCAAAAGGCTGCCTTTGCCCACCGAGCCAGCCCCGCCGGCAGCTCACTCACACCTCCGGACGGGTGTTCGTGCCCAGCTGTTTGACCATCGGCAGCAAACTCCCCAAAAGCCAGCGCCGTGCCCGGGGCTGCTCCTGCTCCTGCTCCGGCAGCGTTCTTGTGCCAGCCCAGCACCGCCCTGCCCACCCCGGTGCCCCTCGGTGCTCCCCGGCCGCCCGCTGCCGACAGGCTCCAGCCCTGCTCGGGGTCTCCAGCCCTGCGCCTCCTCGCTCTTTCCCTCCCGGGGACAGGCGGAGCCGCCGGGCCGGTCTGTGCCCGGGGAAGCGGGAGATGCCGAGGAGCCCCCGCACGGAACGGGCACTGAGCCCGGCCCCGGCCGGGAGGTGAGCCCCGAGCCAGCCCGGCAGCACCGGAGCCGTCCCGGCTGAACTGCGGTACGAGGGGGCCTCGGCCCGGCCCCCCAACGATGGACGGGGGATCTTCGGGGTTCCTCTCGGAGGTGGGCTTTGGGGGGCTGCGCACACCCTGCCCTGCTCACAGCCCCACCCACCCCTCCCCGAGACCCCTGAGGCACCTAAGGGACCCTTCAGCTCTTCCATTTGTTCATCACTCTTTTCTCACCTGCCCGAACTCGCCAGCTCCGTAGGAATTCCTCTTCCTCTCGCTCCTGCTGAAGGATGCTCCTTCCAAGCCATGGATTGGGGAGTGCAGGACACACACAAATCCTTCTGGGGGATCTGGAACAAGACCTACATCCCTAGTAGGCGTGACTGCAGGGTAAAAAAGTGATGGGAAGGTTTTTTTCCTCTCAGAAGGTCAGTGAAGGTCTCCAAAACCAGAGAGTTGGGAGACAGTGCCAGCTTGCTGCACTCCTCACATCCCCCTTCTCAGCTCCACGTGGATTTGCACCTGCTCTGAAGGCGGCAATCGTCTGGAAAGGAACTTGGGAATCTTCTTTATCTTCTTTGGTTTCTGGCTTGTTCTCCCCAGCACCACAGCAGTACCTCTGAGGTGGTTGAAAAGGAAAAGAGAGAAACAGAAAAAACACACACACCCCCCTCAGAAAAAACAAAAACAAAACAAAACAAAAAAACCAAAACAAAACTAATTGGATTTTCAAATTTAACAGAAATATTTACCATGTTCTCAGGTCTGTAATCTTCTGCTGCTGAGCAAGCCCAGTGAATTCCCCTAAGGAAGAGTGTCCGACAGGAACGGGGATTGTCTGCTGGATTCCCCAACCCTGCTCTCCCTGCTGGGGCTGCTCTCTCCCTGGCACTGACCTCTTTGTTTCAATAACATGTTGTAATTATTACCACAACAGCAAAACATCAGCTTTTGGGTTTTGGGTTTTTTTTTTCCCCACGTAAGAGTTTTCTGTAAAAAAAAAGATGAAACCAATACCTTTTGTCCTCTGAGGGGATGCAGTGGCAGCAAGACGAGCACATTCTCTCCTCCCTTACCTGCCCGGGCTGGAGCAGCACCTGCAAAGGCTCTGGTTCCATTAGCTGAGATGAACTGAGCACAGATCAGGTGGATTCTGGCTGTGCACAATCAGACGGTCTGGCTGTAAGTGATGGGGAGCAGACACCCCTGTTCACCTGCCCCTGCGAAGCCACCAGGAGGGACACCCCGGAGCACAATTTGGGGGGGCACAGCAAAGGGAGCACACACATCCCTTCAGCTCTGCTCCACCCCATCACCGACACCGCCCTGGCCAGCCCCAGCCCCACAGAAACACACGGAGCAGCCAGTTTGGTTTTTTTTTTCTTTTCCTTCAGGAGAAGAGAAGAAGGCACAGACAAGGCAAGAGATGAGACAATCAGGTTATAAAATGAAAAACGACTGGTTTATTCCAGCGTCCCCATCCATGCTCGTACATGGAGCACACATGTCCAGCCAGGGGCTGCCCAGAAGGATGACAAAGGCAAAGAACCACGATCCCAATGGAAACAGCCATTGGTACCACAATCCGATGTGGAGAGGAAGCAAATTATTGCTGGCAGACGCTGGCAGGGCTCAGGTCCTGAGGGGCTCTGCCAACCTGAGCCCACCTGGGCTCCTATTAAGGCTTCACCGGTGAGGTTCAATGCTACCAGTGTCTGTACATACAGCAACACTGCTAAACACCCACTACAAACTCCATGTGCACAGCTACTCCACAGATCACACCACAACGGAGAAAAAATTCCACATCAGGGCCATCAGGCAACCTGGGTGGGAGAAACACTCAAGGGACAAGCAGCTGTAACAGCAATTATTGCCACATCGCCCTGCACACTGAAAAAAAAAAAAAAAAAAAAAAAAAAAAACAAGAACAAAACAAAACAAAAAAAAACCAACAAAAACCTTGCTCCCTGCCTCTGCAAATGTATTGAGAGTGATAAAACAAATCAGCAGCAAAAACTGTTGGACGAAACTGGTGGGCACCCGGGGGCCACAGGCATCCCTATCCTGTGGGGATACCTGCGGGAGGACTCCTCCAGGGAGAGGGAATGCCCCGGCACAGGGGCAGAGGTATTTTAGAGCAGGCATCGAATCCGTACTTGGATGGAGAGGAAGAGACTCGCTCCTCCAGCTGTCCAGGGAAGAACAGCAGAGACCGCCAGGAGCAGGCTGCAAGCAGCCACCCTCGGCCAGCCTGCGACTCTGACAAAATATGTGCACACATCTATTATTGCCAGCAAAGGGTTGGAAGACCACCTTGCACCGCAGATAAGGCGACAGAGTTTGCAGGGCTCGGTCTCTGGGTTTAATTTGTGGAAGGGAAGAGCTGGCTTCCGAGAGAAGGGAAAGGGACAGACCTGGATATATGGTGCCTGAGGTATGGTCGGAGGAAAAAGTGCAGCAAGAAGGAGATGCAAGAAAAACTAACAAAACCGCTTGGCTCTGAACATCTCTCTCGCGTGAAAATGATTGTCAAAGGAGTCACTAGTGAAAATTAGGTGAGAAAATATGTTCGCTGTAGAGGTACCTTTCTACTTCTTCCAACAACAGAACGCTAACCCGAGGTCCATCCAGCGCTTACAGCTCGCTGCGGGGATTCTCTTTGGCAAGCCCGAGCCGCTCACCCCGGCGCATCCCTCCGGGGACACCGCCCGGCCTGAGCGGGGACGAGAAACCCTCGAGCCGGCACGGCCACCCGGGAGCTCCCC